TGGTTCTCAATGGATTTAAACAATTGAAACGGTTAGTTGTAAGCGTGTGGTTCCGCGAAATTGGAATACAATGCACTTGTATGAAAGCAATTGAGAATTGTAGACGCCATAAGCTGGAGATGATGATATCTCGCTCGACATGAAGAGCAAACTCACGATTGAAAAATCGAAATATAAACTTCCACCCCAAAAGCGGTAATCTAATGTCATAGGCCAAACTTTGGAGTGTTGCCCCTCTCAGCCGTGCCAGGATCCGAAAGTCATGGCCCAAAGTTTTAAATGCCTGGATCGAGATACCCGAGATGGAATCTTAACCTTTTCAAGAAATTCAAACATTTTTCCTTTACTTCTTCTCATGCAATATGTAAATATTATCCCGAAGGACATGTGCTGTGTCGGTGCACCGTACCCGACCTCGATTCTTAATTTTTAAAGCAGTTTAAACAAGTTTCCTTTACTCTTTCTCACGCAATATTCAAATATGAACTTCCTTCACCTCAAAGGTGTATTTACGTCAGGCGTCAGACGTTGAGATGGTACAGGTGAAACTCGCCACGCCGGATCCCCAATGGCGGTGCTCTTTTGACGCCATTGTCTATGTTAAGGGTATAATGTGCACACCGACAATGGGATCAACATACCACTCTGTCATCACCACTGCTGCCAGGCTCTTCATGGCTTCCGGTTGTTTGTGGATTGCCTCCCTTGGCGTAATGGACCTCTTCACATGTGCTTTGGGAAAACAGGTTAACTCCTTTTTATCTTTGAAAAGTTATGCTTGCTGTTTTATCAAAACCTAGGTTATGTTGTTAAGTAAGGGCATCGTACGTGTGTTTCATCACCGATATGTCTCATCGACATGTAACTTGTACGATGTGTTTTTTCAGGTGAATAATTGACTTGCGTTTGAATGTGTTTGTGACTGGTTCCCTTAATGGGGCAGGTTACGCCCACCTTTTCGCGAACACCTAGTGTTGATTATGAAAAGGGCTTTGTCGCTTTTCTTTCAATGTATCCAACTTGATAATCTGACCTGAAGGCAACACTTTGCAGAGTTGCGTACCTTAGTCTTGCCAGGATCCGATAGTCATGGGTTTCAATACCTGGGTCGACTAGATTATGATCCTTGGTTTGTCAGCGCCATACCCACGGTCAGGCTCACAATAAACTGACACGCAATAATATAACTGAAATCTCTGTAAATAATTTAACTCGGAGGGGTTGTAAATGTAATATTGTCACCAAACACAAACTATACAGACATCTCCAGAACAGCTGTGGTATCAATGAAGTTTTAAATACATCGGAGTTGTGAGTGAGTGAGTGAGTGAGTTAGGTTTTACGCCGCTTTTAGCAATATTCCAGCAATATCACGGCGGGGGACACCAGAAATGGGCTTCACACATTGTACCCATGTCGGGAATCGAACCCGGGTCTTCAGCGTGACGAGCGAACGCTTTAACCACTAGGCTACCCGACCGCCCCTCGGAGTTGTGAATCCTGTACTCAGTTCCCTTTCGTGTTTTACTACCAGCAATGGCCCGTCAAGCAACAGCCCTACTCTCCACGCCCTTAGACTTGCAGTGCAGTTTACAATACTATTTAGGGAGATTTTACAGGTGCAGCAATGGGTCCGAGGAGCAGCAGCCCCAACCTTCACTCCACAAGCCTTCTTCCAGGACACACGAGCATGATCATCAGCTGGATTGACATGAAAGAGTGTGAGTGAGTGAGTGAGTTGGGTTTAACGCCACTTTTAACAGTATTCCAGTTTTATTACGGCGTTTCAGCTTAATGTGGGAGGAAAGTCCGAAGTGATGCAGGTCTCAGACGTTTACCACTTCGGTGAAACTCACGAGCACGGGTATGGTGCTGACAAACCTAGAAACATAATCGGGGCGAACCGTGAATCGAACCAACAATCATAGGTTTCTGGCGCGACCAAGGGACGCAACTCTGCACAGCGAATGGCGGCGCCTTAGACGACTCGGCCACCCGTGCCCCCGACATGAAAGAGACACGAAAGCATAACGATATAGTGTACAAAGTGAAAGATACCTTTTAAATATCATCACTGATTATTTTTATAACCAAACATTTGCTTTTTACTTCTAAAGATTAATTAATATCCTGTAATGATTAACGCATTTTGAAAATAGTTTCTGAAGTAACTGTCAAATATCGGTTAAATTCTTCAATTCCTCAGGTGACCTGATAAAGTTGACGCGACATTAAAATGTCAGGTTTGTCGGGTCATTCGAAGTTATTAGATGAGAAAAAACAACAAATATTACACACGTAAATGAAACAGTAGAGCTAATTAGATGAACAAGCTCAGATCGTCGATCTGTAACGAAATAAATGACAAACATCGTGGACCCAGGACAAAGATTGTATGACCGTCTCAATTACTTTTGAAACCATTATGTATATGTTTAGTTATTTTACCCGTGAAACAACGTAACGGTTGAGTTAAAAGTAAAAGTATAAATATTTTTCGCATGCAACATTGGAGGGAGACAGTGGTGATTATCCGTGAAGGTGTTTGTGAAAATGACAAGATGTCGTTTGGGTCATGTCTCGAAAACAGTAGATTTTAAGGGCGATTCAGCCCATATGAAAATATGGCAGTAGTGGTTATCTCCCTTGAATTAATCTTCTCGTGCACGAGCATTCGTCACCACTCGCCCCATTCCGTAACCTGCACGAAGGCTCACCCCAATATCAATGAATGTTTTGTTACGACAAACCAATCAGATTGCGCGTATGATTTCAAGTACTTCAGTCGAAGAATACCTCAGTAATAATTTTTGACTTTACATATGTCTTGCAATTATATACCCAAGATACAATAAAATGTGTTCATTCATACTGTATAATACCGTAAGTCCCGATGTCTTTTAAATATAATCCAGAATATATATACTAAATGGAGCAAATATACGCGAATTATTACGCTACGAGTTGATAATTCTTTTATCTTTGCCCGTTTGCGTCCAGACGGAACCAAGTTGCAAAAATGGCCACGAGAGGGGCACGAGTCGGTATTCGGCTTTTTTCCGGAAAAGCACGAGTTGGTCACGAATGATTCACAAGATGACGAGATCTGCGTTGTGATCCCTATGAATACGAATCAGACGCATTTTTGAGGAGTCATAGAATGTATTATATCATAACCCGGTTGATATCTATGAAACATCTGTGCCTTTGAGTTGGGGATCGATGCCTAAATTTGGACACTGATCGAGTAATTCAGAAATGTTGTTTCGTGTGCGGGGGTATATTTATAAATATAAATTATGCTTCGTGTTTCTCCGTACACATGGTGAAAGTGAGTGAGTTAGTGAAATAGGTTTTACGCCGCTTTTAGCAATATTCCACTGTTATCACGGCGGGGAACACCAACCATGTGTTTCACGAAGACTATACTTGCCTACATTTTTTTAACATGGTTAATATGATTATTGAATACTGGCCCTGGGTACGTTTATAATTGGGGATCGAATTCTACATAACCCCAGGAAGGGGGAGGAAGTCGTTGTTGTCACATTATTAATGATAAAAAAAAGTATAAAAAAAATAAAAATAATATATGCCTCAGAGTTTTGAATGTAAAAAATAGTTCATTATTTCTAGTGGTTGTTTGTAATACGATCATGTTCCTACTACCAATATTTCAAAGAGCGTCAAACAGCTCTTGCTCAGAATTTGTTTGATCAAGGTAACATCATTCAAGGCCTCAGTAAAGCTTTCAAAAAGTTTGATGGTAGACATGTGGAGGACATTTACAAATTTGACGCATCAGTGACAAAAATGATGTCCGATTCAATCCCCATTTTGACTGGTACCATGTTCCCGCGTTTCTTCAGGTGAACAATTGACTTGCCTTTGCATGTGTTTGTGACAGATGCCACGTGCTCCTTTTCGCGAACACCTGCTGTCATTACTTCAGTGTGAATATAGAGGAAGTTCCCTGCAAGATCCCGAAAACACTGACCCGGAAGTGAACATACCGCCATCTTGGATATTGTATGCCTGTAAGGAGAACCGCCCAATTGGCACGGGTGACCCATTTTCTTCTCTTCACGTGATAAATCAGTTTGGAAATAAGTTATTTTCAACACAAAATGGATGTCTAACGACACAACACGTGGTTTTTTGTAGGATTGTCGGAAACAACTCAACAGAAACCACCCAAAATTATTAAATGGTATTTCCCGTTTATGTCTGGTCATCTTTGACGTCTTGAAAACCGATACTTGAGCTGCTAGGACCACAGCGAACGAGCTAATGTAGATTTCACACACTGAGTACGCTGAGCAATATACTCGTACGGACTTCATGACGGCGGTCTGTACATGTGAATAAGCGTATCCTAATCAGTCAACCCAGTGGATGATATTCCGAGCAACGATAACGTTTAACGACGAGGTACAATGTCACAAAATTACCACTGGCCATAGAGCCTAACTACGAGTTCTCAATTTTTGTCAGCTCTTACGACAAACATGGTGTGTTTCAGACACTGTTTTGACACGGAATGCCAACTATTATCACAATTAATTGTCTGTCCTATCATAGTTCTTTTCATGAACTTGAAAAATCAATGTTGTCATCTGTCAAAGTCCTTAACCTCAAAATTACTTTAATGGCACCGTTATTATTTCAAACTACGGGATATTAAAATCCGTCAATATAAATTGAAATTAAAGTCCCGGGCCCAATCACTACACGACATAATATGATATTCAATATATTAAAGAGTGAATTACTTGGATACACACTAAATGAGCGAAGGGCGGTTATACCAAAGTTATGACTTCTCTTTAGGCAAGCTATTGTCTGTGTGACAGATGCCTCGCAGTAACGAGACAGAGAAAGATACCGCTGTTAAATGTTAACAAAGCTCCTACCTCCAATCGTTAGCATCAGAGTGAACCTTACAAGCACAGTTATTGAATGACGTAACGACACCTATGTCCCACACAATGATTAATCGAATGTATCTCAAAGATAACGCCAAACCAACCTGTTTGAACCACACAGGCTTCAAACGTGACACGTGCACGATCATCATTGAGGATAGAATAAAGGACACTTCACCGTCTGTCAGTTGCAAGGATAACTTTCTTAAGGTAAGATATCACTTTTATATTGTTATAGTTTCATATTCCCATAGCTTTATCATATTAATGTTTTACCGAGTATATATTTAGGGTTTAATTTTTCTTTCACCATGTTTCTATAATGTTACGAGTGTACGTGAGATCTTCAAAGAGATCTTCCCCGCATCATGTATCTGAAAATATAGGTTCGCCTAATTTAATCTGAAGCTACATCAGCTGATCAGCTAATTAACCCAAAGGTGATGGTGAGGTGAAATTGGGTTTAACGTCGCGTCCAAGATTATTGCACTTATATAGCGACGTGCATGCACGTGTATTTGTGTGTGTGGCTGCTTGTACTAGTCCGGACTGATGCCGATTTATAGTGCTAGCTCACTGAGATACCATGCCGCAGTTTACCATGAATACCCCACTCAGACACAGTATACTGACTCCGAGCCGACCAGTCCTTGTTTTAGCCCCTTAATGCCGAGCGCCAGACAGGGTAACAACAAGTACCATCTTTTAACGTCTTTTGGTATGACGCGGCCGGGGATTGAACCCCGGACCTTCCGCTCTCCGGGCGGACGCTCTACCACAAGACCACGGAGGCGGCTAACCCAAAGGGATTCTGGGTTAGAATAGGTAACTTGCTCAACCTGTGTTGTCGTCAGAGGCGACTTAATGGATCGGGAGGTCAGATTCTGTCTTGGTTGATGACGTGTCAACGTACCCCGACGTCGTTGGCCGTTGCTCACAATATCAATCACTGGATTGTCTGACCAAGATTCGATTGTCTACAGGCCGTTGACATATACCTTGAATATTGCTCAGTGTGGTGTGTGCTATAAAAAAACATACAACATAATCAGTAATGGCTATTATACTTTACAGTATAATTATGATTGTTGAAATGATAGTGAATGCCGTCGACGGTTGGTCGATATCGCGGGACTACTGTCTTAGGAAAGTCGATGTTCCGGTCCGACACATTACCCAACGTACCACTGACTGTGACAGTACAGTTTATTGTGATTTTGCTTCGTGTTGTAACATTAAATGATTGGAGGATTGTTTATACGCTGACGGTTCCGTCTATATTGAAAAAAAAGAGTTTTATACGAAAATGTATATAAAATATAGCGTCTTTCATGTTTCAGCAACTAAGTTCATACATGAAGATGTACAGCATGCGAGTACAGTTCATGCTATGCAGGTAAGAGTGAATATCCTCTGCGATGTCCAAGCAAATTATGTTTTTTATTTTCTATTTTAAACAAACTGACACTCTAAATGGGCTAACACTAGTCACACTAAAAATCATTCAATGAACGCATCAAGGGCATAAGCCTTTAAGAAATAATTGATGCATTTATAGGTACATGTACATGCTTTATGACTCGTAGAACTAAAACTATATTAAATGCCTTGATATGAAAAATAGTTTTGGTATGGGGTGTGTGTACGGTGACACTATCGTCTAGGGTACTGCAGAGTTGCGTCCTACAGGTGTCCTAGAAACCTATTATCATGGGTTCGAATCCCGGTTCGCCCTGATTGTAATTCTAAATTGTCAGCACCATGCCCGTGATCGTGGGTTTCGGGATAGTGGTCCAATATCTGCATCATGTCTACGTGAAGCTGATGTAATCCCAATACCGTTCAAAGAGAACCACACCATTTCCCTCACTACCAATAAAGAGTAAAAGTTGTACATGTTTACATATTTCTAATAAATGAGGCATAAACGGTATTTTTGTTTCTAAAGAAAACAACTATCATGTCAACCAACAATCTGTATTTAGCATCCGAGGTATCTTGAATATAAAACAATTAACACGTCTTATTTTAATTCTGGAAACCCAATAATCCAGAAACTCTACGGTCTTTGCCCAGTCTTGGTCAAAGGTATTTACAAAATTAAAAATGCTGTTTTCATGGGAACATACCAAGCAAAAAAAAATGAAAAAAAAAATGTTCAAAAACTCAATATTTACACTATGTCGCCCATGGGCGAGAAAAAGGTTTGGCCGAATATTTTGCTTTACTCAAAAGTCATGTTTTTGTTTCGCAAATACATATATGTATATCTTTCAAGTATCATGACACAAAACGTAACTCAGCTTAACTTAATTCAACGATTTTATAGCGATATAGAAATATTTCGCCCATGGGCGAGAAGAAGGTTTGGCCCATGGGCGAGAATATGTTCCTTTACTCAAAACTCATGTGTTTGTTTCGCAAATACATATATGTATATCTTTCCGGAATCACGACACAACACTTTACTCATTTTAACTTAATTCAACGATTTAATAGCGATATTGAACTATTTCGCCCATGGGCGAAAATATTTTCCCTTGCTCAACAGTTTTAGTTTCGCAAATACATTAAGGGTTTTATAAGCATGACACATGATTCAACTCATTTTAACTTAATTCAACTAATTTTTGGCGTTATTAAAATATTTCGCCCATGTTTTCGTCAGTCCATTTAAAGAATTATCTAATTGTGTACAAAGTATATTGTATCATGTGAAATATACTTTATATTATATCATTACATTACCATTTAAAAAGGGCCTTTGGTTGGATGTTTCCTTTGCAGAAATTTCACCTTTTCTACATATTGCAACGATCTTTAATGAACCCGGCCTTACCTCTCAAAACGTTTTGACAGTTTATCATACGAATTCATGCGCGTGTACACCAATTCATTGGCGTTATTTTCCAACTAATTAAAGTTTAGTTTGTTTCTTTTACATTTCCCATTTTATGTCTCGTTGATACATCACACTGGGAAAATAAGTGACACTAGATATGCAATATACAGGTACACGTGCGCGTATTTTAATGGGGAAAAAACCCGATTCGTCTTTCATTGCATATTCATTGATATGTGGATATATTAAGCACAAAGACAAAAAATGTTTATGAAAGATCAATTAGTGCCTTGATATATTCAACGAAATGTGTATCATCGTTGAATGGGTCATTCAAGAAAAGTATGTTTGGAGGAGATATCAAAGGAACCGCCCAATATACACAGTGTCGTCCGGTGAATTACCACCCTACCCTGTCCGTAACAGTTATGTAATCGGTACACAAAAATATTTGATGCGGTGTCAGTGTGGAAGGACTGTCCATAGTAACAATCAACAAGGACAATGCCGTACTAATTACCTAGTGACGCACGTAACAACGACTGTCAATGTGTCTGCTACAGCTACCATACCATCATCCCTAGGCCTGTCACAACTGGCATATCAACGGCTTATTCAAAATATAATTGTAGAAACGTCGTTAAGAGACTAACGTATGTCGTATACAGTCCTCATATTTGATTAAAAAAGAGTAAATACGTCAACTAGGAATTCAACTGGATGTTACCTTCCTTATATCAGCTAACAGCCCTGTTTGTGAAAATATGTACTAGACATAAGATTTTAAGACTAATAAAATCAATTGCAAGACTGCAAAGACCATAAAACCGAATTAAATATGTCTTGGTATCATCTCTTGTGTATTAGATAATGGCAATGACATGAAATGTTTTAACGTTAGATTAGGAAGGAGAAACATTAAAGTGTTTTATAATACTTGGGAACTAGAGCAATAAGATAAACATAAACATGCATGGAATGGAATAGGGAAAATGGTGAAAACAAATTGAAATAGATTTTAATAAAACATTATTGTACTTAATAACTTGCAAAAGCGGTGCCCAAAATTGTTTGACCGTGTTATGTGTGTTGTAGATTGACGACTAGCAAGTAATTGTCATGTTGTACGCATGGTTCCATATGCAAATTCAGATATACGACCGGTATAAAACTGAGAACTGATATGCCAAGTATAACCTGCCTTCACACACGGAAGCAACATACTTGTGTGTATGCCCTCGCCTCTGAAAAATGTATCACTAAAGTATTTGCATTGTAATAAATATAATAGTAATAATAAAACTTGGTAAATTTGGTAGGTCTCCGACAGATATGATTTTCAGTTATTTTACACGTTTGATTGATACGGATTACGTACATGTAGTCTAGTCACTGTCTCTAATGTATCTGCTTGTTAAAAATTTCAAATGTCCTGTTATAGCACTGTTCCTAAAATAAGGCAGTTTCTTTTATCGGGTATAAATAGTTGATTCGTCTTGTCACGCAGTCATTTTTACTTTATCGAATGGTTTCCACGAAAAATTCCGGCAGAGAGTTTTGTATTTTATTATATACATGTACTGTTAATTGTAGAAGATGCTTACATCACTGTATCTCAGAACGCAAAACTGATAACATTCAAACATGTTATTAGTACACAGTTAATTGTTACAGAAGAAGAAGATATTTTATCAAGGTGTCGCATGATATACATACATGAGGACAGTTAAACAGTTAAAAACAATTATTGCATATCATCCGGCCGATACGGCCTATGGGACACCAAATACCTCATAAGTACAAATGCTAGGCATTGCCTAAAAGTCGGGCCGGGCCGGGCCAAAGTGTTGTTGGCTAATAACTTCATTATCGGCGATCATACCTACATATTATTGATGCAACAAACACGCATGACATTACTGAACAATCACTGACCAAAAACGTGAAACATAATTAGGTATTTCGGAGTAAATTGCTTGAAAACCAGAAAGTGGAGCTGTGCGTAAGCGTCGCTGATCTAGGTAACATGTAAAAGAGCAATCTTTAAACGAAATAAGATTTGAAACGTATCAAATACTTCTAGGATAGTACTATATCTATGTAAATACCACTTAATAATATCACTTTTCATCGTGTATAAAGCAGACACGTTGGTTAAAGTAGACCTCTTCTCCCTATACTCTCAACAGTATCACAAGTGTTCGATCCGACTTGGCCCGGGCTGTCAAAATCAACTTAAACCTCACAGATGTAACATGAAATGGATTCACACCTATAGATTAGTATTATATCTACCTAAATATCTCTTTATAGTGTCTCAGATCGCGGTTTTTAAAGAAAACAAGGTGCTCAAAGTGAAGCCCTTTTCCCTCTACATTCTCAACATAGTCTCTATCAAAAGTGTTTGGCTTGTGCTCGGTCCGACTTGGCCCGGGCTGTCAAAATCAACTTTAAACACACAGATGTATCATCAATGTAGAGAGAAAAGGGCTTCACTTTGAGCACCAAGTTTTCTTAACATACCGCGATCTGAGACACTATAAAGTGGTATATAGGTAGATATTATATTATTTTCTCATGGAACATCTATAAGATGTACAGCTACATGTATTTACCAAAAGAAAGAATCTACGCTTTTACTTCATTAAGTAAACATTCACTCATATTGAACATCTCCAGCAGTTTTGTCCATGTTGAGATCCACTGAAATGGTTAGTTCACTTGTTACATTTATATTGAACAGAACGATATTTGTGATTAAATATGATTGTGGATACATTTACCTTGGCTATATTTTAAAATTCAACAATAGCTTGCGTGTGGTTTGTTTGGAAGCATAAAATCAACTATTGTTTGTAAAAAACATTTGTGTCTGTTAATATATATGTTTTTTTAAAGGAAGAGGTGTTTGAATAAATAATTATTTGTGTGTTCACAAACCCCTATCATGTAATTATATTTTCCTGTTTTATATAACATGTTGTTTGCATGTAAAATAAATGTCCCTGTTCACCAATTTAGAAAGTCAATAAGCGAAATAAAACTGAGTAACAGACTGTGTATTATAGATCCATAGAAATACGATTGCATAAACGATCAATTCAGAATACAACAGGTGTAAGGTGTGGCTAATTGAAATGTATCTCGATGACTAATTGAAATGTATTTCGCAGGTAATAATCAATAAACATTGTGACAGAAAAACAAGTAAAGGATTGAGTTGAATTTTAGTTTTGCAAAAGAGGTACGTGGTTTCAGTGGATGAAACTAAGTTTGACAATGTTGCAAATGATCACTTTCTTTGACTTCATTACGGATTCCTCAACCTGTATCGAGGAGAATTGTTTACGGTTAAGTAAAATTCTAATTAAGATTTCTTAAAGCTGTCACGGTGGCAAATTCAAACTTCGATATCAGGGTACACAGTTCTATTGTAAAGTCAGATTGGGAGTTCGAGATGGCGCTATGCATTTTTATCTCGAATTTGAAATAAGCGGTTAAATTTACATGTTTTGTTTGTTGTTGTTTTTGTTTAACGCCACACTCAGCAATAT